GCCCAGAGAAACGACAGTGACGCCCTGTGACTGTCAAAGGACAGTTTACATGCGTGTCACACGTGTGTGTCACAGGAACTGGACACAACTGGAATAATTTGTATGCTTTTGAAGACAAAAATGTCTGTGTTTGTGTCACCAGAGGGATAAATATTCCTCTTTGCATGTGTGTCACTGTCTGTAAGTATATCACAGATGTGAGAGAAGTGCTTGTGCATATAGGCTGTAAACCCTCATGCTCATGCATTGTAGTCTCTGTAAGTGTTATGTTCTGGCTGCTGTCAGGCACAGCATAAACGGACTCAGACCCAGGATGGCTCGATTGTCAGGGGTCATTTATTAACAAAGAGCACAAAACGGAAGAGAACATAACAGAAAAGGACAATGAGACACTGATGCAGAGCCAAAGCCGGCGTGGTGGCTGCCACAGGATCGATTCCTCCCCCCTTATCCGGGAACCCACCTTATAGACCCACCCCCAGGGAAACAGGTGCACCACGTTTAAATTAGACGGGGGAGAGAAACAAACAAGCCGCCAGCAGGGGGAGCAGCATAGAACGTGGAGCTCATCACTAGAGGGAGTAAGAATCCACCTTTCCATTGTTTCATCTGTATTGCTGCAATGCCAGTGAGTGTATTGTGGGTCACATTGTAGCTGACAGTCTCCATTCTAAATTGTGTGGAGTAACAGTCAGTTGGTACTATACCGTGTATATAGTTAATATACAGCAAGTTTTAATACAATCAATACATATATACACACACACACACCCACACACACATATATATATCACGATTCCTAATGAAACAGAATTTATGTTTTTTTTCTGGTAACTGGTGATCACCTATACTGCATCATTGATGATCAGGTGATTTTTTGCAATATCACAAAATTATAGTTGTTCATATTTGCTAAGTTAGGGCAGCATGGTGGTGCAGTGGTGGTGCACTGTTGCCTCACAGCAAGAAGGTTCTGGGTTTGATTCCTGGGTTGCCCAGGGAGCCTTTCTGTGTGGAGTTTGCATGTTCTCGCTGTGCATGTGTGGGTTTTCTCTGGGTGCTCTGGTTTCCTTCCTCAGTCCAAAGAAATGCAGGTTAGGTCACCTGGCTACTCTTAATTGTCCATAGGAGTGTGTGTGGCTGTTTGCCTGTGGTGGACTGTCGGCCTGCCCAAGGTGTACCCCGCCTCTCGCCCGAAGATGCTGGGATTGGCTCCAGCTTCCCTGTGACCCAGATGGATGAAGCAGTATAGATAATGGATGTTTACTAAGTTAACTTTTGATTATACTATTTATCTTTACTCAGTTACCTCAGGACCGCTGTAGGTTTTGAGTTAATAAAATGTCTGTCATCTGCCGCCCCCTGCTGGCCAAAGCATCACCGCTGCGATATCAGGAAGCTGCGCTCAGTCACCAGAGAGCGCGGATTAAGTGTGTTACTCAGTTACACTCTGGGCAGCGCTGAACCGGGACATTAATAGGACAGAATAAGAAGCCTTTATTGTCAGTATACAGCTAGAAAATACAATATATAGACAGAAATATATAAAATATACCTATAGAGGGGAGGGGAAAAGCCCCCCCCCCACTCATCAGGATTACATTTCATTACATTTTATTTTATTCAGAATCAAAATTCACTCTATTGGTACAACTGCATCTACTATGATTTTGTTTTGGCAGTTTTGGTGCATTCAGAGACAACATGGAACATAAGTCAGCGAAAAAGAGTCATTTTGCATGGGTTTGGCAAGCTGAACAAACATTCATTTGTTTTTGTCTGACATACATCACACTTCAGACAGAGTAAAAAGGGTTATACTGGTAAAAAGCAGAGATTTTAAAAGCAGCGACATGTGACACTCTGATAAGGTAAAAATGATTCCTCCAGCACACAGTTAGCTATCCCAGCATGCACAGGGACACAGAGGAGTCCTTAAAAACCCAAAATCCTGGATAAAGGGGCTCAGTGAATGAGGAGGTGAAGCTGTACAGGAGGGTCAGTCCATCAGAGGAGACTCTGTAGAAGGACAGAGTACCAGCCCCCCAGTCCAGATACACTCCTACTCTGCGGGAGCCTGAGGGCTCTATGGGTATGAGAGTCTGTTTATTATTGTGCCAGACAGAGTAACTGTGAGGAGAGCAGCGCAGACTCCATGACTTGTCAGTGGCTCCAAACCCACAGTCATAACTCCGTCCTTTCCTCCTGATTCCTTTATAAGTCACTCCTATCCGGGCTCCATTTCCACTCCACTCAGCCTCCCAGTAACAGCGACCAGTCAGACTCTCTCTGCACAGAACTTGGGTGCAGCAGTCAAATCTCTCTGGATGATCAGGATATGGCTGCTCTGCCCCCCGTGTCACCTTCCTGTTCCCCTCTGACAGAGACAGGTCTCTGTATGCTGTGTTGGGGTCCAGCGTCAGCTGGCAGGAGTCTGTAGGCAAGAGGAAGAGCGATTAATCCCATCACGAAGCCCAGCATCTCCATCATTATCACTGTCACACCTCACACACTCACTAACACAGAACTCGCTCCAATACATACATTTTATTCCCAATATACTCATGTAGCCGCCCGAGTCTACGGCGCTCCGGCTGCCCCCTGCACTGTGCATGTGTCCTATTTAAGTATTATTATTAGTAAATTATTATTCTGATATTCCCTGCACACGTACCACAGCAGTGAGGTCTGTGTATGTTTCCCTGCGTTTTACAAATTCAAAGCGCCAGTTCACAGAGTTGCCAACTTTAATCAACTGGCTGGCGTGAGACACAAGTCTGCACACACATGCATACGCATTTATAGGTATGTAACAGTTTTATTGGGGTGGCAGTATGGTCACGTTTTGTTTCGGAACATTGTCTTTACTTACGGTACAGATAGTATTAAAGTAGCATCTGATTTTTTTAAGAATGAGTGGCCAGAATAACTGTATATTTCTGTATATAACTGTATGAGTCTAGAAGGAAAATATTCCAAACACTATTGTGTCCTTCTGTGTATAACGTCTTCAAAATTAAGTATAAGTTTATAAAAAAGCATTGTCATGTGTACAATGAAATTCTAACTTGAAATTCTTAATTGCCTACTTTCATAAGTAGCGTTATTTTTCAGCGCAGTTCCATCCATCCATCCATCCATCCATCCATTTTGTGCCATTTATCTAATCTAATATATAACATATAATCTATATATAATGTGTCACGCCCCGCTCCGTCCGCTCCCGATGTGTGCCACGCCCACCTCATTACCTCCTGTTTCGCCCTAATTGTTCCCACCTGTAGCTCGTTATCTGTTGCCTAGTCCTGTGTATTTAGTCCGAGTCTCAGTCTGTTTCCCCAGATCTGTCATCGTTGTATGGTCCGTCGTTGTCTGCACCTGTCCTTTTGCCTTCAATAAACCCTTCACCGGACCTTTTGGCTTCGTTCGCCTGCTTCCGTGCTCGCGTTCACCTCCGAAGCTGACATAATGTAGTATATATTATATATAATCTCTCAGGGTATATATAATATATAATCTCTGGGACTGCCCCGGGGCTTCCTTCCGGTTGGACATGCCCTGAAACACCTCCCCAGGGAGTCATCCAAGAGGCATCCTAGATAGATGTCTGAACCATTAACTGACTCCTTTCAATGCGGAGGAGCAGCGGCTCTACTTTGAGCCCCAATGTCTGAGCTCCTCACCCTCACTCTAAGGCTGAGCCCAGACACCCTGCTGAGGAAACTCATTTCTGCTGCTTGTATCACAATCTCATGTTTTCGGTCATTACCCAGAGCTGATGACCATAGGTGAGGGTAGGAACGTAGATCAACTGGTAAATCGAAAGCTTTGCCTTCCAGCTCAGTTCCCTATTTGTCCAAATTGCCGCACCGTGAACAAAGATCCCGAGATCAAAGTCAAAGTGAACTTCATTGTCATCTCCACCATATATAAGTATACAGAGAGACGAAATGGCGAAGCTCAGAGACCACAGTGTGACATAAAGTTAGTCCAATATAGAAAACAAGACAAGACAATGTGCAAAGGACTTACAGGATAGTGCAACCGAGGAAGAGGAATAGACTGTGCAATTTACAATAATGTGCAATATTGGGTAATGCGTAATATTGTTAGAACTATATTAAATATATGGGAAAGGTTTACTCAGTGTTCCCAGAATGAAGACCAAGCAGGCTGAAGCAGCTTTTAGTCTCTATGCTCCCTGTCCGTGGAACAAGCTTCCTGAAGACCTGAGGTCTGCAAACACTGTCAGCTCATTATAATCGGGGCTTAAAACGTTACTGTTCGCTGCAGCTTTTCAATAAATTAATCAGCAGGAGTTTAATCATACGCTGCCTCTACAATGTCACTTCTTTTTAGTTAACTGTTTGTTTTTTGGGCTTTTAGACTTTTTAAAATTGTCTTTTAAATTGACAATGAACGTGTTTGTAAGTCCCACACCAAAGTTCCGAAGTACCGAAAAAGTACCCCAGGTGCAATGGTACTTTTGGTACTGGAACTTCTGGTACTGTTACTCGACCAAAAGTCAATGGAAAAGGGAAAGAACCACAAGTACCGTACCTGATGCAGTGGAAAAGGACCCTGAATAAACTTGCCTTACTTTGCAATTGGATTCAAAGTCTACTGGGATTAAAAGCTCATGTAAATGTGAAAGACCAGGAGGCAGCGGGAGAGAGAAAGAGAAGCTCCACTAGCAGAAGAAAACGAAACACAATAAAACACACTCCACCTCATACAGGGAGAGAGAAGCGTGTGTGTGAACAGACTCACATTGAAAGAATTCTGCTCTGGTCCTGGGCACTGATACCGGTAGGACGGTGTCTTTGGTAACTAGGAGACAGAGAGAAACAGGGATGTGAGTAAAAGGAATTTACTTGTTTAAATTATTTAAAGGACTTCACTCACTGTGGAGATAACAGCAGTAGGGTATTATCATTATGAGGGACAATAACAGGCATTTTAACAAACTGTAAATCATGGTAAGTTACACATAATACAGATGTTTCATGTGATCTGGGTTTTGCAGCCAGTAGAATGTGAAGCTCTTTCACCAGTTATCACAAAGATTTAAACTTATTGAAAACAAACTGACTTGGTCACACAAATGTTAGCCTGACTGTACCAAGGTTATCATTGTCAATGAAAACGAATGAAATAACGAAAACTAGAACTGAAAAAACATTTTTGTTAACTGAAATGAATAAAAACGACAAAAGAAAAAAGTTTTATAATCTTATTGATTTATTTATAATTTTTTTATATATATATAAAATGTCACAATGATATAACCAGCATTGTAAGCTTTAATTGATATTAACTCCATAGAGTTCAAATAAAAAGAGAGTAAAATAATTTACTTGCTCTCATTTACTCATTTACTGTCACGTTGCAGCAAGCAGGCAAGCAGGGAAGCAGGAGAGCGAGCCAAACTGACGGGTAATCAGCGGTTTTAATCGTCAAAAGACAGACAGGTAGGGACATCTACGGACACTACAATGACGGATCTGGAGAAACTAACTGAGACACGGACTAAATGTACAAGACAGGTTGAACATAACAGGCAACAGGTGATCACAATCGGGGATTCACACGAGGTAATGAGGGGGGCGTGGCACACACGAGGACCGTACGGAGCTGGGCGTGACATTTACAAGATGCAAGGTACTGTATTGTTAGTCTGTTACTGTTACTATTGTCTACTGCATTGATGTGTCAAAAAGCTGCACCTGATCTAGTACTGAGAAGACATTTTGTTTTTGAGTAGGTAATTTTGGTAAAAAAAAAAATAAAAATGAATCAATCCTGTTGTGCAATGGTTTTTGAGTTTGTTAATGTTTTTCTCAGATTGAGCTCCCTGAGACTCCTGGCTGTCAAGAAATGTGACGTGTGCCTTGTGAATGGGTTTATATTCTTATGTTCATGTGTGTCTTTAGTCTATGGGCTATTTTGTACCAGGCACACTACCTGTTTTCAACATCAGAAGCAGTATCACACACATTTTGCACATAAGCTGCTATCTTGTAGAGTGTTGGTTGTTGTGGAGTGGTTGGCTGTTCAAAGGTAACTGAATACATCTTTTAAAATGGTTTCCTTTGTTGAGTTTTATTACACAATACTTACTGATCTTTTTGAATCCTGCACCTGACAAATAACCCAAAGTATGAAAAAATGAAAACTAATACTAAAACTAATAAAAACTAAACTAAAACTAAGCATTTAGAAAAAATTAAAACTAACTAAAACTAGCAAACCTGCTCTAAAAACAAATTAAAACTAACTAAATTAGAGGGAAAAAAGGTCAAAACAAAATAAAACTAAACTATAATGAAAAATCCAAAACTATTATAACCTTGGACTGTACTGCATACTGTCTCTGCATGGTCTACATCAGAGGTGGCCAGTCTTACCTGCAAAGTGGCAGTGTGTACACAGGTTTTTGGGATAACCTTTAGGTCAGCTGTTCAATGCCAAGTGTGAGGACTCTTCAGCCAATCAGTCCTCTAATTAGTAATCCAGCAAAAGCCTGCAGACAGCAGCCCTTTCTGGGTAAGATTGGCCACCCCTGGTCTATATTAACATGAACAGACTAGAAAATGTAGTAACCTGGGTGATGGATCTCTGCCATTTTCATTCTGCAAACATTCTCCAGTTGATCTTTCAGTTCAGAAACCACCTTCCTCAAATTCCCAAAATCAGATCTTGGACTGACAGAGATTCTGGGTCCAAATCCAACTTCAGGGGTGACAGGAAGAGCCTGGCGCCTCTACAGACACACAGTTTGATTAAACAGATTCATCAATACAAATGTGTATTGCAATCTAATTAACAGGACCTTTAACATCTGACAAATGCAGACTAGTTGAAATACAAATGACAATATACATTCATCTGAATACTCTGGTTTTCTTATTGCCAAAGTAGCTGTTCTGTTACCTGGAGGAAATGGATGTGATCCTCTGTGTGTGAAAGCTGCTCCAGCTCAGAGTGTCTCCTCTTCAGTTCATCGATCTCCTGCTTCAGTCTCTTCATGTCTCCTTCAGCCTGACTCACTGCAGCCTTCTCCTGATCTCTGATCAGCTTTGTCACCTCAGAGCGTCTTCTCTCAATGGAGCGGATCATCTCAGTGAAGATCCTCTCGCTGTCCTCCACTGCTGACTGTGCTGAGCTCTGTTGGTGACACAGGGAGCAGAGGATGGTAAATTACAATTGGCCCCTTTTGAGACTCCAGAGAGCCTCATTGTACAATAGTGATGTGAGCTGACAGGAGGTATAAAAACAGCACAGGGCTGGGGTTTGGAGCGTCACCATGCTGGATGCCTCAGGTACTGAAACCCAGCCAGCACTGATTGGAAATGATCCCTCATTAAGCTCATACACTGTCAGCTGCAGGGATTTGGCAGAGACTGGTGGCTGTATGGGGCAGGTTGGTTGTCACCATTGGGTCTCAGTTTAATAGGTGACTTTCTTGGTGTTTATTTGCATTACGCTGGGTTGAGAAAAGTTGCATTTTTCTCAAATGGGCCTTTTATGGTATTTTTTTAAATAAATAAGCTACTACTGCTGCAGCACTTGGTTAAACTCTGTCATCTAGCAACTTTATCCCATTAAATCTCTGACCCAGAATAACCCACAGCAGCATTAATTTGATTAATCCCCACGTCTGTAAATCTGCAATCTGCTGAATTTGAGAGAAGATTCAATATGATCACAAGCCAGCTGTTATCTTCTCCTCAGGTTCATACTCACTATGATTGAGCCCACAGCCTCTCTCAGCTCCTGCAGCTCCTTCTCTCTCATCTGAATTCTCTGCTGAAATTCCCTCTGTGATTCACCCATTTGTTTCTACAGACAGGAAACAAGATGACAAAACAAGTTTGTTTCATTAGATCACATTCACATATGGCCACATTCGCTGCATTGCAGGACCGGCTACTCAACTGACGTCCTATTTGATTTATATCAGATTGCATGTCAGTTGAGAATGGGCCACTGTGTAGTAAACTTCACTGTGAACAACAACAATGCATCTTTTCTCCTGCGATACTAAATACTTTGAATATGCCAGGAAGTTGGTTTAATATTGGACTGTTGTGACCCATTCATATGGAAACTGTGTCAAAGTGTGTGTCATTGATGTTCCACACAAATTCAGAAAAGATAATGTGTAAGATGGGATTTATTAAAGATGTTTCAGAATTTGCACAGATCATATGTTTAATGAGCATGTTGGGGCACAGCCTGGTGCAGGCAGGGAAACAAGGTGACGATCCACTTAAAAGCTCCAAGACAAAGGGATTTAAGGAAACTGAACAAAACTGGAAAGAAACAAAATAAAGGAACAACAGAGAGTCAGAACTCACCAGGGATAAAGGAGCTAAGAAAACAACACGTAGACTAACAGAGGAAATGGGGCAGCTAGTGATGTTAAGCTTGACACCGAAGCTCCGAGGTATGCGGCAAAAAAACTACATTCTGAAGCACAGCTTCGAGGTTTCCTCCGTTCCACCCTGAGCACGTGACCACGGTCATCCGAAGCTTCGTTCTGCACTCAACCATGTGACTGCTTTGGAAATTGAACATAAGCCGCAATCCTCATTACCGGTTCCAATACGTGTTATAGAGCACATATATCAGCACACACACTGCAGCGTAAGTTTTGGAGCTATGGAACCAGAAAGGAAAAGAGATCGTTCTGAAGTTTGGCTCCACTTCAAACTTGTATCTACAAATAAGGTTCGATAAGTTGGGCATGAAAATGTCCAGAATGTTCTATCCACCAGTCAGTCTACAAGAAGTCCATCCATCACCACTTAATTCCAACTGGGGTCACAGGGCGAGGGGGAGGGGGACCAGAGCCTGTCGCAGGAACAATGTGTGCACGGCCAGCCACACACACAGTCACCAATTCACACACAGCCAGCCAGTGGTGGAATGTAACAAAGTATTTGTACTTCGTTACTGTACTTAAGTACATTTTTACGTATCTGTACTTTACTTAAGTAAAAATAATAATGTATACTTTTTATTTTACTTCATTACATTTTGCAGCAATTATCTGTACTTTCTACTCCACTACATTTCTATAATTTATGCCGTTAGTCATTACATTTTATGAACACAATTTCCTCAAAATCTTGCATGAAAAAATAGTTAGCCTATTGCGTTCTGGCGTTGTTTGCCATTTCCTACCAATCAGGTGGCTTAATTAGCTCCAATGATGGCAGATCGCGTGTCAATTAGCAGCGTGAGCTGGTAGACTGGCTTGATTTCAAGAAGACGAAACATTCAACATGGACCCATTCAACATGGTTTATCTTAATGGTATATTAGTGGGTGATACCTAGTAGATAACTTGTCATCCACATAATTCTAAGTTAGGGTACACACAGTATTGCAGAGTGCACGCACAATAAGCACACCAAACCTTACAATACACATATACTGTATAGTTCCTTGTAATCATTACGAGCAATGACATCGGTAGAGGCGTAAGTTAGTATATCTACTATTCTTTTACAAAATGACACACGCAAGACATCGAGACAACCATTGTGTGAGTACTTTTACTTAAAAAAATACTTTAAAGTAAATTCAAAAGTAAGTACTTTGTACTTTCACTTAAGTAAGATTGTTGATGTAGCACTTCTACTTTTACTTGAGTACATATTTTGCAGGATATTTGTACTTTTACTTAAGTACTAAGCTTCAGTACTTCCTCCACCACTGCAGCCAGCCACACTCATACAATTGCAGGGTCAATTTAGACTCGCCAATCAACCTGCCCTGCAAGCTTTTTGACTATGGGAGGAAACCAGAGCCCCCAGTGGAATCCCACTCAAACAAGGGGAGAGCATGTCAACTCCACAAAGAAACAACCCAGGAACCCAAGACCTTCTAGCAGTGAGGCAGCAGCGCTAACCACTGCACCACTGCACAAGACAAAATCCAGTCATTTAAAATTAACTTTATATTTATATAAGAGCATGACCTGACCTGTATCTCCGCCCTTCCTGTAGCAGCTGAGACTGTATCATGGCCTCTGTGTTCATCCAGCATACAGGGATAACAGATACACTGCTGGTCGGTACGGCAGTAGACCTCCAGGGGTTTGTCATGGTGGGAACAGACCTTGTCCTGCAGACGTCCAGTGACATCAGTCAGCTTGTGCTTCTTAAAAGCTGGAGACTCATAGTGAGGCTGGAGGTGAGTTTCACAGTAGGAGGCCACACACACCAGGCAGGACTTGACAGCTTTGTGTTTTTCCCCAGTACAGACGTCACACTCCACATCTCCAGGTCCAGCATAATGGTCAGCAGGAGTAGCTGCTTGTATTCCAGTCTCCTTCAGTTTCTCCACCACTTCAGCCAGTATGATGTTTCTGCCCAGAACAGGTCTGGGTGTGAAGGTCTGTCTGCACTGGGGGCAGCTGTAAACTCCAGCATGATCCTCCTGATCCCAGCAGCACTTAATGCAGCTCATACAGTAACTGTGTCCACAGGGAATCGCCACTGGATCCTTCAGTAGATCCAGACAGATTGGGCAGCTGAACTGGTTCAGATCCAGTGCTGAGCTGGCTTCTGCCATTTTACCACGAGCACTGATAGGATTCAGTTTCGTTTTCTCTCACAGTCGTCTGAGTGTGAGAGTGGGAGGAACTTCCTGCTTATCAGGCTGCAGTAGGTGTGGTTTTGGACTGAGGACAGACTGAGAAGAGCAGACTGAGCATACACTGGAGCTGGAGTTTATAACTAAAACAGTACAGTATGCAAACTATACACACAACAGATATTTATTAGGGGTGGCACGGTTCACAAAACCCACGGTTCGGTTTGTATCACGGTTTTAGGGTCACGGTTTTCGGTTCTGTACGGTTCTTGTTATTTTTTCTCTCCAGAAATGTACTTCAGCATATGATATATAGTTTAATTATCCACAATTTAGGATACAGTATTAAAAAA